CGCGGTGCACCGGAGCGGAGCCCAGCAGCCTACGGAAGGATGAGCCGGCGGGAGCCAGGGTGAAAAGGCCTGTGGGCTCACGGACCCCTCAAAAACCACAGCAGCTGGGCATGGTGGCACACGCCTGTCATCCCGGCACTAGGGAGGCTGAGGCTGGAGGATCGCGGTGAGTTCAAGGCCAGCATGGGCTACATTATGAGACCCTATCTCAGAAAACAAAACAAAAAAAAAGGACAAAGCAAAAGCGGGATTCATCCCCCCAGCATTACATGCACTCTCAGGCCACCTGGACAGACAGACAGACAGACACACACACACACACACACACACACGCACACACGCACACACACAGCCCTCCATGACACCAAAGTCTTCCCCATGCCTGGGTACAAGAGCTGGAGAGACCTGAGTTCCCATCCCAGCGGCTACGTCTGAGGGGAACCCTAAGCTCCTAAGAGCTCCGTGAATGGGAAGGGTTTAGCCTCTCCGGTGTTGGTAAAATTAAATGGGACAGGTGTCAAGTGCTGAAAACACAATAAACCTCCATAAATGTTAGCAGCTGTCACTGTGAGTGTGATTGTCATTACTATATTTCTTTTGAGGGAGGTGCCAGGGATTGAACACAGGACCTTGCACTTGCAAGGCTGGCATGGTGACACTGAGCTAAATCCCCGGCCCATCATTACTATTATTAAAAGGAGGGCCAGGGATTTAGCTCAGTGGTTCTATTGCCTACCTCACAAGCACAAGGACCCGAGTTCGATCTCCAGCACCAAAAAAAAAAAAAAGGAGCTTGAGCTGGTCATATGTCTGTAACCCCATCATTGGAGAGGCTGAGGCAGGAGGATTACCTCTAGTGCGAGGCCAACCTGGGCCGTGTCCTGACTTTAAGGCCAGCCTGGACAACATAGTGAGACCCTGTCTCAAAAAAACCGAAGGGAGGGCCAGTGATTTAAATCAGTGGTTCCGCTGCAAGGTCCCAAGTTCGATCCCTGGTACCAAAAAAAAAAAGGGAGAGAATTTGAATCCCAACACAGCCTCTGACCTATTCTTGGATCCCTGTGACTGTTGAGTAATGAGTCCTCCCCACCCAACAGTGAAGTGGGTCCCAGCCTCTTCCCAGACTGCTGTGTATATAGTTGGTGCTCCATACATGCAGACTAACATCTTAGCCCATGTTCAGGTTTCTGCAGAATTTCTCTGGGAGTCGGGAGTCTCTGGAGCACACAGCTTGGTTTGTGGGTGCTACTGGGCCCCTCACTTGCTCAGGAACCCAATGAAGGAACCAAGCCGGGGCCCCCCGGTCTTCCCTGGCAGCAGCGGGCATCCAGGTGATGCTGTCTTTGTTGTCTTAGAGACCAAGCTGCTGTGTTTCTCTCTTGTTTCTTGGCAACTCCTTGGGGGATTTTTAACAGTAACTAGAAGAAGAGGAGGAGAATGCAAGTGATCCCATCCACTGGCCTCTCACCTTTTTGTACCCCTCCCTGGGCCACTCCACTACCATTCACCTGCAAGCACAATCGCTCTCTTCCTGGCCTTCTGGCCTCATCCTCTCCCCCATGGCCTGTTTTCCCCTAGAACAGCTCAAGGGATCAGGAGAATGTGAGTCACAGTACATCCCTTCTCTGCCTAGAACCCTTCAGAGCTCCCTCCTCACTCAGAAAAAAGTCCTCGTTGGGGATAGTGAGTGGCACACGCCTGTCATCCCACCACTGAGGAGGCTGAGGCAGGAGAATCACTGTGCACTGCAAGGGCAAGGCCAGCCTGGTCTACATAGCAAAACCCTGTTTCAAAAAAAAAAAAAAAAAAAAAA